CCAGTTCTTCCAGGACCTAGACGATGAGGAATCCTGGATAGAGTATGTACTGTATGGTGGACAAACTCACAATGGGTGAATAATCCAAGAGAGAAGTTGATCCACCAAACGTGTTCCAATGTATGCTGAAATGAAATATGCAACTGTTTCCTGAAGTTGGAAACTTCTTAATCACGTTTGCCTAAGCCTAAAGTTAACATTGATTTTATTTTTTACCTCCAGTTCTTCCAGGACCTAGACGATGAGGAATCCTGGATAGAGTATGTACTGTATGGTGGATAAACTCACAACGGGTGAATAATCCAAGAGAGAAGTTGATCCACCAAACGCGTTCCAATGTATGCTGAAATGAAATAATGCAACTGTTTCCTGAAGTTGGAAACTTCTTAATCACGTTTGCCTAAGCCTAAAGTTAACATTGATTTTATTTTTTACCGAATTTCCTCACAGGATGCAGGCAGAGAGAGGCAAGTATGTAGGGAGTGGGGAGCAGTTTATGCACATGTTGGGACCAGAATTAAGAAGTCATATATTTTTGTTCTAGAAAATTCATAGCGTGTAAAATGCTCACGGAAACACCTAGGCATTTACAGCTTACCTAGATGATCAGATCATTGTCATTGTTCTTTCCATATCCAGTGTACCTTATATGACACCTAACTGGACAACAGACAGATCATTTTATATGGCATCTGCCATAGTTTCAGCACTTATTTTATTTTGATCATAAAATTATAATTGGTAAAATATTAGAAAATCAAATAACTTGGCTACTTCCCATTTAACCTGACTTATTATGTTTCTCTTCTACAAATCTGCTGATGTTTATGACTAATCAATGAATTAGAGGAAAGCATAGATCATAGGATAACAAATAGAATATTTTAAAAACCTTTTTAGAAGCCATAAGGTGGCATAAGCTTGTCTATGATGTCTTTGCCTGTGCTTCATGGTGACATTCAAACATTGACACTTCAAACCATCCAGCTGCCATAATTTCTATAATATCAGGTCTTTATACCCATTCTAGCTAAATTTATTGTTGATATTAATAGACAAAAATAGTAAAATCCATGAAGGGCATATATAATTTTTTCCATTTTTTTTTAAAAGAGTAACAGTCGTCTGTATACTTGAGCACGGAAGAGAAGACACAAAGGTAGAAAGGCAAAGAGGCAAATGATAAGCCTGTTACGGCTGCAGCAGAGATCAGTACGTTGCTTTAATTTGTGTCAGCATGAGTCAGAAGTTTTGCAAAAAGCCTCTGTCATTCTTTATTATTTTGGTTACTGGCACAGAGTATTCCAGAATTCACCACCTCTCCCACCCCAGTCATACACATGCTCTTAGAAAATCATTGCTCTAGGTGACCTTAAATGTCTAAACTGCACATTTTCCATTTTCTTCCTTGGTCCCAGGGAAAAGTTGGTACGAGTGAGCTCCCAAGACTATGGCAGGGATCTGCAAAGTCTTCAGAACTTAGTGAAGAAGCACAAACGCCTGGAGGGGGAGCTGGTGGCACATGAACCCGCTATCCAGGTAGGAATGGAATATCAGACCTGAAAAGATAAAAATAATCTAATAACAGTGCCTCATATTACAGATAAATAAGATGGTGCTACAAATATGAAAGTAAGACGCCAAGATCACAGAGTTAGTCACAGAGTTCGCAAGTGTGCTTTTCTCTCCACATTTTGTCTTTTATAAATAGAAGCCTGGAGAGGAACCCATGCTCTTCTCTGAAAGGAGCACTCCTAATACTTGTGGGCAGTAAATGACAATAGGGATATAGGTTGGGACATCTGGGAAAGCTGTTCCTGAGCCATATGGAAGAAGGCGACTCTGTCTAGTTTGGCGGTAGGGTCACTCTATGACTGAATAATCAATAAAACAGATCATGGAGAGTAGTCTAGTGAAAGTGCTGTGATATTTGCCAAAATATTTGGGAAAGTTTAGCATGATAGGTCTCGCTGCAGCTTCCTTCATACTTCTAGGATTTTCAGGACCACCCCAAGTCCCGTGGAGGGTAGGAAGGTTAGATGCTCTGCCAGGGGACTATAGCTAAATGGGGAGAGATTGTGGGATAATGTGACTTGGAGGGTGTGTGCTCTTTAGAATGTGCTGAATATGGCAGAAATGCTGGAAGACAAGGCTGCTGTGGGGCAGGAGCAGATCCAGGAGCGGTTGGATCTGTTTGTTCAGCACTGGGAGAAGCTCAAAGAGTTGGCCGAGGCTCGGTGAGTGTGGGATGGAAAGCCCAATTCTTTTCTTGAATTTTGGGTATTACGCTGGTGTTGGGAAGATACTTAAGTTCTGCTTAGCAGTGGCTGCTCTCCCCAATTACCCATCTCTCTTCCAAGTCCCTGAACAAATGCCATCTTTCTATGAAGCTTTTCCCCAGTTACCCAGGCAGAAGTGGTCACTGCCTCTCTTCTGAATAAAGCCCTCCTACTGAACTTACATGCATGTCTTTTATCATTGTTCTTCTACATGTGTTATCCTTCATAATAGGTTATTAAAGACACATCTGTTTTACTTTATCTCTTTGGCTAATATTACGTGAAGCCCTTAGTAATGAAAGAGTGCAGTATTTTTTTCCCTTACAGCCATATAGCCAATTTGAACCACATAGTCATATGAATAAGTATGACAATTTCTGTCTATGTTTCATGCCTGTTGGCAGTAGGAAGACATTTGTCCCTGGGGAATAAATGGGAACTTCTGGCATTTTGTGATGCGTTCATCATGTAAGAAGGAAGGCAGTGTTCAGAGTAGAGAAGGTCATTTCTTAGCTGCTCATGGTCTCCAGCTCTGAATTCTTAGCATCCTCTTTTGTTTGGACAGGGTTTCCTTCCTCCAAGAGAGTTTCCTAGAGGGGAGATAATGCCACAAAATGAATGTCTAGGGCAGGAGTCTCTTGCACTCACAGGAGATCTGCAGCACTGCACAGCAGGCACGTACCAGTCTGTGCTCTGGCCCAGGTCAACTGGGGCTGCCTTGTGAGAACATGCTGGTCTGCTCTGATGAGATTGTGCTACCCTGCTGTACTCCTGTTGCTTACCAGTTGCTTCTTATCCTTACCGGGTTTACCACCCTGTTATAGAGGGATTCGGTTGGAAGAATCCCTAGAATACTTGCAATTCATGGAGAATGCTGAGGAAGAGGAAGCTTGGATCAGTGACAAAGAAGCTCTAGTTGCCCGAGGGGATTCTGGAGACACACTGGCTGCAACTCAGGTGAGGAACAGGCAGAATGGATCAAATTTTTTCTCTTTAATTTAGATCTTTTCTAAAGTAGTCAGTGTTTTCACCTGTAAAATTAGATCTTCCTTCTGGTGGGAGAAAAGGAGATGAGGGAAATATGGGTCATTCTGCCAATTTTAAATATAAAAAAGAAGTCAAGGTCTAACAAGGTGACTTGTCTAAGGTCATGAGCCCCAGCAGGTGAGAAGGCAGGACTTAAACCTCAATCCCATAATTTGTGACCCGTCTGTGAGTCAAAGACATCATGGTTAAAGGCCTTTCCTTATAGGTTATAGCTCTTGTAGTCTACAGATTTCCTAAAGATCCCTTCAAATCCTGATGGCACACTGATTTGGAATGAGTTCTTTTATGTCTATGCATTGGTTGCAGTTTCTGAAAATATAACTTTAGGAGAAAGGCCTACCAGACAGAATCATTCCACAGTTTAGAGAAACCCTTTTAAATGTAGAATTGGGTTTCACAATAAAGAAATGAACAAGTTCTCAGTATGATCTTGAGTTAATATGGGTTTTGACAGCTTTTCAGGGAGTGATTACAAAAGAATAATGTTCTTAGGACCTTGAGAACTGTGCCAAGTAGCCTAAAAATCAGGGATTTACCAGGAACTTTCTGTGGAGATTAATTCACTTTGATATGATGACATAGAGAAGGTTAAACCTATACAGCACATAGTTCAAATTATCAATTCTTATTTGTAAAAGCCTTTTAGAACATGTACATGAACACCACTGCATGTGTTGAAGCATTTTAAAGCTTCATAGCAAATATTCCCCAAAGCTTCCCTTTTTAAAATTAAAATTTTTATTTTCAGTAGATTCACATGAAGTTGCAAAATAATACAGAGCGTACATGAACACCACTGCATGTGTTGAAGCATTTTAAAGCTTCATAGCAAATATTCCCCAAAGTTTCCCTTTTTAAAATTAAAATTTTTATTTTCAGTAGATTCACATGAAGTTGCAAAATAATACAGAGCGATCCTATATAACCTTTACCAAGTTTCCTCTAATGGTAACATCAAGAAAAACTATAGTGCACTATCATAATCAGGATATTGACATTGTCAAGATTCAGTCAAAATTCAGAACATTTCCATCAAATCGTCAAGGATCCCGATCACTCTTCTACAGTCACACTCACCCACTTCCCTCCCGTTCCCATCCCATCTTACACCCTTGGCAAACACTAACCTGCTCTACATTCCTATAACTTTGTTATTTCAAGAATGTTGTATAAATAAAATTATACAGTATGTAACTTTTGAAGTCTGGCTTTTTCACTCAGCGTAATACTCACGATTAATTCATGTGTAATGATAGTTCATTTCTTTTTGTTGCTCAGCAGTATCATGGTGTGAGCATACCAAAATTTAACCATTTACCTGTTGAAGGACATCTGGGTTGTTTCCGCTTTGGGGTTATCATTAAAAAAAGCTACCGTAATTATTTATGTACAGATTTCCATGCAAACATAAGTCTATTTCTCCGGCATAAATGCTAGGGGGGATACGTGTGTAGTGACATCTCATTGTTTTAATATCCATTTCCTTAATGGCTAATGATGTTTTACATTTTTTTACATATTTGTTTGACATCTGTATATTTTCTTCAGTAAAATGTCTCATCGTGTCTTTTGCCCATTTTCTAGTTGGATGGTGTGTTTATTTGCATGTTTTATTTTATTGTGGTAAGAATGTTTATTGTGAAATCTATCCTCTTAATAAATTTTAAGTGCACAACACATCATTGTTGGTTATAGTACAATGTTGTAGAGCAGAACTCTAGAGCTTTTTCATATTGTTTGACTAAAATTTGTGCCTGATGAATGGTAATACCCCATTTTCCCTCTCCTTATCCCTTGATAACTACCATTTCACTCTTTTATTACATCAATTTGACTACCTCATATACACGGAATCATACAGTATTTTTCTTTCTATAACTGGCTTATTTAACTTAGCATAATGTCCTCAAGGTTTATCTGTTTTTTCACATATTGCAGAACTTCCTTCTTTTTTAAGACTGAATAATATTCCATTGCATGTGTATACCACCACATTTTCTTCCTCCGTTCATCTGTCAGTGGACAATTAGGTTGCCTCCACATCTTGGCTCTTGTGAATAGTGCTGCAATGAACATAGGAATGCTAATACCTTATGGATAAATACCCAAAAGTAGAATTTCTGGATTATATAGTTTCTTGAAGAATGTCAATACTGTTTTGCACAGCAGCTTTACTATTTTGCATTCCTACCAACAGTGTGCAAGTGTTCCAATTTCTCCACATTCTTGCTAATACTTGTTGTCTTTCTTCTTTTTTTCTTTTCTCTTATTTATTTATTTATTTATTTATTTTATGATGTATAGATGTGGGGTACAACGTTGATTTTCAAAAATTGTGTACGTGTGGTGGTTAGATCAGTATAGTTAGCTTATTCATCATTTCAATACACAGTCATTCTTCATGTCCTTTGACCAAGTCCTCATTAGCCTCTCTCCTTCTCCCCTCCCCTTTTCCACCTCTAGTTTTCTAAAAGTTCAATGTATTACTGTGTTTGTTGTTTCGTTCTTTACTTCTCTCTGTCTCTCTTTATTGTTCAATTATTTATTTATGGATTCAGATCCCAGTTATGAGTGAGAACATGCAGTATTTCTCTTTCTGTACCTGGGTTGTTTCACTTAATAGGGTAAAAAGACAGTCCTACAGAATAGGAGAAAAATATTTGCAAAATATCCAGAATATAAAAAAAGCTTAGACAACTTTACAGCAAAAAAACAACCAATCCAATTAAAAAATGGGCAAAAGAGCTGAAAAGACATTTCTCAAAGGAAGACAGTTTCTTGAAGAATGTCAATACTGTTTTGCACAGCAGCTTTACTATTTTGCATTCCTACCAATAGTGTGCAAGTGTTCCAATTTCTCCACATTCTTGCTAATACTTGTTGTCTTTCTTCTTTTTTTCTTTTCTCTTATTTATTTATTTATTTATTTTATGATGTATAGATGTGGGGTAGTAAAATGTCTCATCGTGTCTTTTGCCCATTTTCTAGTTGGATGGTGTGTTTATTTGCATGTTTTATTTTATTGTGGTAAGAATGTTTATTGTGAAATCTATCCTCTTAATAAATTTTAAGTGCACAACACATCATTGTTGGTTATAGTACAATGTTGTAGAGCAGAACTCTAGAGCTTTTTCATATTGTTTGACTAAAATTTGTGCCTGATGAATGGTAATACCCCATTTTCCCTCTCCTTATCCCTTGATAACTACCATTTCACTCTTTTATTACATCAATTTGACTACCTCATATACACGGAATCATACAGTATTTTTCTTTCTATAACTGGCTTATTTAACTTAGCATAATGTCCTCAAGGTTTATCTGTTTTTTCACATATTGCAGAACTTCCTTCTTTTTTAAGACTGAATAATATTCCATTGCATGTGTATACCACCACATTTTCTTCCTCCGTTCATCTGTCAGTGGACAATTAGGTTGCCTCCACATCTTGGCTCTTGTGAATAGTGCTGCAATGAACATAGGAATGCTAATACCTTATGGATAAATACCCAAAAGTAGAATTTCTGGATTATATAGTTTCTTGAAGAATGTCAATACTGTTTTGCACAGCAGCTTTACTATTTTGCATTCCTACCAACAGTGTGCAAGTGTTCCAATTTCTCCACATTCTTGCTAATACTTGTTGTCTTTCTTCTTTTTTTCTTTTCTCTTATTTATTTATTTATTTATTTATTTTATGATGTATAGATGTGGGGTACAACGTTGATTTTCAAAAATTGTGTACGTGTGGTGGTTAGATCAGTATAGTTAGCTTATTCATCATTTCAATACACAGTCATTCTTCATGTCCTTTGACCAAGTCCTCATTAGCCTCTCTCCTTCTCCCCTCCCCTTTTCCACCTCTAGTTTTCTAAAAGTTCAATGTATTACTGTGTTTGTTGTTTCGTTCTTTACTTCTCTCTGTCTCTCTTTATTGTTCAATTATTTATTTATGGATTCAGCTCCCAGTTATGAGTGAGAACATGCAGTATTTCTCTTTCTGTACCTGGGTTGTTTCACTTAATAGGGTAAAAAGACAGTCCTACAGAATAGGAGAAAAATATTTGCAAAATATCCAGAATATAAAAAAAGCTCAGACAACTTTACAGCAAAAAAACAACCAATCCAATTAAAAAATGGGCAAAAGAGCTGAAAAGACATTTCTCAAAGGAAGACAATACAAATGGCCAACAGGTATATGAAAAAATGCTCAGCATCACTAATCATCAGGGAAATGCAAATCAAAACAGTTTGAGATATCACCTCACCCTAATTAGACTGGCTATTATAAAAAAGACAGAAAATAACAATTGCTGGTGAGGATGTGGAGAGAGAGAAACCCTCCTGCACTGTTGGTGGGACTATAAATTAGTACAGACATTATGGAGAACAGTATGGAGTAAACAGTTACACATAGATCTTCCATATGATCCAGCAATTCCACTCCTCGGGATATATCCAGAGGATTGGAAAACATCACGTTCAAGGGATATCCACTCTCCCATATTTATTGCAGCTCTATTTACAAAACCAGGTGATGGAACCAACCTAAATGTCCGTTGATAGATGACTGGATAAGGAAATTTTGGTGTATATACACAATAGAATACTACTCTGCCATAAAATAGAATGAAATTCTACAATTTGCAGCAATGTGGATGAGGCTGGAGAAAATTATTAGAAGTTTTTTTCTCAATAACCATCCTGACAGGTGCGAGGTGATATCTTATTGTAGTTTAATTCAAATTTCCTTAATGATTAGTGAAGTTGAGATTTTTTTCACCTGTGGGCCATTCATATATCTTCCTTGGAAAAATTTCTATTCAAGTCTTTAGCCCATTTTTTAATTGAGATATTAGGGATTTTTAAAATTTATTCATTTTATTTTAGTATTGGATTTTATTAGTTTCTTATATATTTTTTAAACTAACTTCTTATCAGCTAAATGGTTTCTAGGTATTAATTCTCATTCCACAGGTTGCCTTTTTACTCTGTTAATCATTTCCTTTGCTGTGCAGAGGCTTTTTAGTTTGATGCAGTCCCACTTATTTATTTTTGGTTTTGTTGCCTGTGCTTTTGGTGTCACATTCATGTGATCACTGTCAAGACCAACGTCATGAAGCTTTCTCCCTGTTTTCTTTCAGGAGTTTTATAATTTTGGGTCATACATAAGTCTTTAATCCATTTTGGGTTAATTTTTGAATATGGTGTAAGATAAGGGTACATTTTCATTCACTACATGTGGAGGTCCAGTTTTCCCAAAACCATTTGTTAAAGAGACTGCTCTTTGTCCATTGAACATTTTTAGCGCCCTTGTCCAAGATCATTTAACCATATATGTGTGGATTTATTTCTGGGCTCTCTATTCTGTTCTATTGGTCTGTCTGTCTTTATGCCAGTACCATACAATTTTGATGACTGTAGCTTTATAATATATTTTGAAATCAGGAAATATAATCCCTCTAGCTTCATTCTTCTTTATCAAGATTGCTTTGGCTATTCATGGTCTTTTTTGGTGTTATATGAATTTTAAAGTTGTTTTTTATATTTCTGTAAAAATGCCATTGGGATTTTCATAGGGATTGTGTTGAATGTATAGATTGCTTTGGGTAGTATAAACATTTTACCAATATTAATCTTCCAATCAATGAATACAGGATGCCTTTTGACTTATTTGTGTCTTCTTTAATTTCTTACATCAATATTATACAGTGTTTAGTGTACAAAAAGGCAGTAGTGGTAGCAGTGTTGGTGGCGAGCAGTGGTGGTGGTAGCAATAGTGGTGAGGGCTGATATAGGTATATCTTAGGAAAATACAACAGAAGGTGGAGAAGTGCTGCTCTTCATGCTTTATCTTCACTTTTCCTTCTTCTAGCTACACAGATATCGAGTTTCCAGAGGTAGTCAGAAACAGATTTACAGAGATATTCAGTGATAACTCTGTGACTCCTTTAGGGTCAGTTCTTAGTTTAGGATGTCTTGATAGTTAATTTTTTCTGCTAGATATACTGTTTCATAGAATTATATAAAATCTCATTGAGGAAGAATCTTATATATCACTTTGATCAACATCCTCATTCCAAAATTGAAAAAAGCTTAATGTCATATGGTAATTTAGAAACAGTGTCACTTGTGTTCCTTTACTTCTTTCTTCCAGTAAGATTGTCCACTTTGACAAATGAAGATTTTGGGGAGAGGGACTTAGTATAGTTGTTCTAGAGGAAATGGACACTCTCCTAGACTGCCAATTTAACTGAATCAATCCTGGTGAATACCAGCACAGGGAGCCTGAATGGGGATGGTAACAGATTTCCTAGCCTTGGATATTCTGATTTTCACTAATTCACTTATGCAGAGCCTGCTAAAGAAGCATGAAGCCTTGGACAATGACTTTACAGTCCATGAGACACGAGTGCAAAATGTGTGTGCACGAGGAGAAGACATCCTGAGTAAGGTGAGCTAGTCCAGGGACTCCAGGTCAAACTTACATTTTTGTAAAGGTATGGGCCCACATATAGAGTCATAAGCAATGCTAAAATCGTATATAGAACCTTAACAATCACTTCTAAAGATGCTTTTTGTTGTCGTTCTCATCAAATAGTTAACTGCTCAATTGCCTTTTTCTGGAAATTCCTTTTTGAAGTTATTATACTTACACCTTCAGCTTTCCTTAAATCCTTCGCTGACACTCTTGCTGTCCTATGCAGAATATGATGTTTATAAAAATTTTACCCCTGGCTTGGCCATAGAGTACCACGAGAATCTAAAGAAATTTCTTTCTAAGCCTCTAGAGAGAGGGACTACTCTAAAACTTCTTTGCAAGTTGAGAATCATTCTTTTGTTTAAATGTTGTTTTTACAAAGCCATATTGATCCAAGCGCAATATGAAGACCCTTATGCAGAGAGGACTCCACACCTTCTGCAAGCTTACATCAACTAAGAAGGCTATATTTATGTGGATAAACATGAGAAGATTATCAAAATGCTGAAGTAAAAATAACCTTCTAGGACGTGGATGAATAATAGAATAATTACACTATACTTAGAGGAGAGTAGTGATGTATTTGGAATGAGAGACATGAGAGCTTTTAAATGGTACTAAAGAATTCACATTTCTAGTGCTGGACACTCATCAGTATATCTGTCTTTCTCCTTTTCCCTTCAACCTTGGTGTTGCAGGAGGAAAGTCAGAACAAGGAGAAAATTTCTGCCAAGATAGAGGCTCTAAATGAAAAGACTCCTTCTCTGGCCAAGGCAATAGCTGTTTGGAAGTTACAACTGGAAGATGATTATGCCTTTCAGGAGTTTAACTGGAAGGCTGATGTGATAGAGGCCTGGATAGGTATGATGTGCCAGGGCCAGGGTCCCTTGGGTTTGAGAAATCCTAATAAATCGCATTTGTGGAATGGTCTCTGGGGCTTTTTCTCTTACCATGGGAAAAGAGGTGCTTCATTCACTAACCACTTCTATTCTTTCTGGACACAATTGCACTCATATGCATACACACACACACACACACACGCGCACACACACACACACACAGAGTAACCACTTCTATTCTTTCTGGACACAATTGCACTCATATGCATACACACACACACACACACGCACACACACACGCACACACACACACCCACAGAGAAACATGCCGATAGAGTAACTAAGAATCATAATCTCAGAGTTCACACTATCTGAGAATTGATGATTTCATGTGTGATATTCAGAGGGGTAGGGCCATGGCAAAACCTTCTAGGAAATAAACTAAAATGTGTGTTTGATTTACTTACAATTTATGTCTAATCTAATTTTTTTTCTTTGAAACACTCAAGAGTTTTCTTGGTCCTGGCTCTGTTTCAGTAAGTTTTATCCTGCATAAGTCTAGAAAAACAATCCATTGTTCGCCACTGTTCCCAAATTCTAATGAATCACCTACTTTGAGAGTCAGGAGGCTTTCTTGTTGTCTGTTGCAAAAATTCTTTTTCTCCTTACCAGGGCTCGTACAAAAGAACAACTATCTTTCTCTGCTTATTTGTTATCTTTGCTTTTTAGCTGAGAGGGAAAAAAGCCTGAAGACCAATGGCAATGGTGCAGACTTCGCTGCCTTCCTTACTCTCCTAGCAAAGCAGGTAAGAGCAGGCTGCGGTGCTGATGCACGCCCAGAAGCCCAGACCCACATCACACAGAAGCTCAGTTCTACAGGGTTATTTCCTTTCCAACTTTCCTTCCTGATGTTGATAATTTGCTAGTTTCTCACTCTCTTTCATCTTTCTGCTTAGTTGTCTTCATTTTTTTTTTTTAGCAAACCAACTTTTGGCTTTTTGACTTTTCTCTGATTATCTGTGCATTGTATTCATTAATATGTTTTTATATCTTTATCCTCTTTTACTTTCTTTGGAATTAACTTTGTTTTTTTTTAAAATCTTGAGATAGATAATTATATTATCAAAATTTTAGTCATTCTCTTTTATAATATATTGTTTTAAATATTTAAATTTCCCTCTAAGCAAAGCTTCAGCTGCATCCTGCAAATTTTTTTGCCATTTTTGTTATCATTCTGTTAAATTTTTTGTGTCATTAAATTAAAATTTCTTTTTTGACCTATTGGTTATTTAGTACTGTATTGTTTAATTTCCAAACAATTGGAAACTTTCTAATTATTCTTTTTGATATTTATATCTAGTTTAGCTCAACTTTATTTTAAAAACATACCCTATGTTATTTCAGAAGCTTGATTTATATCCAAAATATGATTTGTTTTCCTGAATATTCTATGTACATTTGAAAAGAATGTATAATTTGTAGGCATTTATATTATCAACCAGCTTTTGGTTGTTAATGATGTTGTTTAAGTACTTTGTTAATTTTATGTATTTTGAGGCTAGGTTAAAAGTTGTGTTGACAGTTAGAATTGTGAAATCATCTTGTTGAATTGATACTTTTAATTATTAAATGTTCCTCTTTCTCTCTAATAACATTTTTTATTTAAAGTTTTTATTTCAGATGCTAATGTAGTATATACCAACTTTGGGTTTTTTTTTTT